TAGTTGAACTTCAAATCATTGGTTTAAAAACACAACCATAAGAAATCACAGCATCATAAAATAATTAAGGTTGGAAAGACTTCAAGATTGTCAAGTCTAATCATCAACCAAGCACCATGACCATATTCAACATTAAAACATATCAAGTGCCATATCCATATGTTTTTTAAACAGTTGTGGGGATGTTGACTTTACCACTTCCCTGGATAGTCTGTTCCATTGCTTGACAACCCTTTCCATGATTTTTTTTTCCTAATATCTAATGTAAACCTCCTCTGGTGCAACTCCAATCCATTTCCTTTCATCCTGTCACTTTCTACATGAGAGAGAAGACTGAATCTCTACTGAGTACAGCCTCCTTTCAGATGGTGGTAGAGAGTGATAAGGTGTCCCTGAGCTGCCTTTTCTCCTGGCTAAACAATGCTATGGAGAATTATGTAAAAGGCTTCACTAAACTCTAGATAGACAACATTCACAGCCTTTCCCTCATCCACAAAGCAGGTCATTTTGTCACAGAAGGAGACCAGGCAGATCAAGGAACACCTGCCTTTCATAAACCCATGCCAGGTGGACTTTATACCTTGGTTTTCCTGTACTTCTTATGTGATGGCATTCAAGATGATCGGCTCCATGACCTTCACTGGCACTGATGTCAGGCTGACAAGCCTTCAGTTCCCCAGATGTTCCTATATTAAAATAAAATCAAAACATCCACTCTTCTAAACAGGCCCTGATCTTTCTCCTGCTTCTGTTGTAAATCAATAACACCACTATGATAATTTGGAGGAAAAAAATCCTTATTGCCTGTAATATTATATGAGCATTTGTTTTCTTGTTTGTTTTTGTGTTCTTGTCTGCCTGTCTACCAAACTAAATCAAAAAGGGACTATTTAAAGAAAGGACCAGACGAAGACCTAGGCAAGGAACTGCCAGAGGCAGCTGAGATCACAGAATCATAGAATGGTGTGGGTTGGAAGGGATCTGGAATATATCTAGTTCTTTGTCTCTTTGGTTTAACTGAATTTCTCCATCTGCCTTGTGCCTCTCCCTCTACTGCTCATCTACTGTCCTCTCCTTCTTGTACCCATGCACAAGGAATCCCTTTATCTTATAACTCCTTTTCACCTACAGCCTACAAGATCTTCTGAACTCATATCTCCATTTCAGTCCACACAGATACTTCCAAGTCTCTTCAGATTTGTGAACTTTTTGACTGCGCAACAATGGGAGAGAGTTCCTGTACCAGACCCAAGCCCTGACATTAGTCCCACAGAATTTGCTTTCCCCAGTTTCCCCACTCAGACAGAAGTGGTAGACTCAGAAGCTATAAGCCTAAGACGAAAAGATAACAAATCTTTTATTTTCCCAACTCCTAAGATCAAAGAATGACCTTTACTAAAGCTATTTCTGGACACAAATGCGTCAGTGATTTATTTTCTTGATTTTCATAAATACAGCATATAAACTATACATTTTTATTAAAATTCCATTTATTCCAACAGTGTCTGAACAGCAGCAACCTTAGGCATGGTACAACAACTCCATCACTCTGCGTACTTAGCATGTTGACCAAGTGTCTAACTCACACTTGACCCAACCATAGGAGATGCTGGAGGCCTATAGTGAACTAAAAGCTGGAAGTGGTGATTTCCTGTAACAGTGACTTCCAGGGCGTAGTGCATCATTTCTTGCTGCACACTAAAAAGTGCCAAGCAAGGTGCATGTGTATCATAACAATATTTAAGGAAAAGGGTAGAACTAAACAGTTTCTTGGAGAAGCTTGTTGTAAGCCAGAGAATTGCTCATAGCTATGGCATTTTTCAGGCACTGCCAGAAGTAGGGCTGAGACTGAGGATTAGTTGGCCATTCCAGGACTGAACTTCTGCACAGCCTCTTCCTCAGACGGACATAGCGGGACTTCTGCAAAACCTTCTCAAGAAATATCAAGATAATGACATCCATTTTTTCATCCAGAAGCCGCTGATGAGCCATATAAAATGTTGTCTTGAAGCGGCCACTTTTAATGTACCTGTTGGTCAGCACAAATATGGTCTTTTTGCTCAGCTGAATGCTCTGGGAAAGGTTGTCAAAGACTGGCTGTCCTGGGAGCCAGTCCCTTCCTTCCAGGCATAAATTGAACTGCCTGGCTTTTTGGTTTTCCAGCCTTTCAACCAGCTCTTGCAGCACCCACTCGTTCACAGCTGGGTCTTCACTGTCGTAGGCAATAAAGGCATCGTAGCAAGCAGCAGGCGAAGGCAAGCGCCGATAGCCCTTCAGCCGGGCAGTGCAGTAATGGTAGCTGTACCACACATCCCAGAAGTAGAGGTGGCTCATCACTGTGAACACCATTAAGGCAAGGATGGCTGAAGATGACAGAGCATACAGAATAAAATATGATGTGTTCAGCTCACAGGTGTAGAGATCCAAGAAAACCACGCTCCTTCCCTTATGTGCCCCTGGGCCAGCACAGGTGACATCAGTGGCCAGAAGAGGAATGGTCACCTGCGTCTGATTGATCCACCAGACAAACCACACAGCCTCACAGTTACACTTAAAAGGATTGCCATGCAAAAGCAGCATCTTCAGGTTGTTAATGACATTTTCAGGGAAGCTAGATCTCTTAATTATTTGAATCTTGTTTGAGCTGAGGTCCAAGTATCTCAGTTTAAAAGCACCTCTGAGAAAATATTTAGTCAACCTATGAATGCGATTGTTTCGGAGGATCAGTTCTTGGAGAGATGAAGTGCAATTGGACAGTTCTTGGGGAACATTAGTCAGAAGGTTATTGCTCAGGTCCAGAGTCACTAGGTTCTTCAGAGAGGGGAGGTTTCCCCAGATAAAACTCTTCAGTCGATTATTGGTTAAGTTGAGGATCTTGAGACTGGGAGGCATTTCTTCAAAAACATCAGGAGGCAAAAAAGTGAGTGAGTTGAAGGAAATATCCAGTTCTTCCAGGCTGGTCAGATTCTTGAAGAAGGACAAGTATCTAGCATTGCCATCCATCCATAAAGCATCTAAACGATTTCCTCTGAATTCTAAAATTCGAAGAGATTGACTTTCCATTCCCGTATCAATAGTGGTAGAAATGTCATTGTCATTCATCATCAGCTTCCTCAAATGGACTAGGTTTTTCAGAAAACTAAGCACATGAGTAACACCTTCTGCCAGAAAATAATGCTGGTTATTGCTCAGATCTAGAATTTCTAAAAGTTTTAGTTCTTTGAAAGCAGTTTGGTATAGCAAATCAACCCTGTTGTTAGAAAAATCCAGATATTTCAATTCAGACAAGTAAGAGAATTCACTTCCATTTAAAGTTTGACTTATTGCATTATCTGACAAGTTGAGACATTTGAGGGAGCGAAGTCCTTGGAAGTCTGAGGGGTTAACAAAAAATACATTGTTTCTGCTTAAATCCAGAGTTTTTCCGTAGTTAAGGCAATCTTCCTTAACTAAAGATTGGTAGGAAGAAGCCTCTATGTCTTTTGAACGACAACTTCTCTCATACTCATCATACCTGAAATAATGCATTTCTTGTTGTACTTGCCTGCTGTACTGCTCGACTGAAATACCAGCATTAGAGCAAAATCCACAGAAGTTGCTTTCCCCTGAAGAAGGAGAAATTTTATTCACAGAGAGGTCAATGAACTTAAGAGCTGGGAATTCTTCAAACACTGTCATGTCTGCAACTTTAATAAAATTAGTCCCGAGGTCCAACATGGTTAGATTCCGAAGACTGAGCAGTGGATGTAGATCTTGTGCCCTCAGTTCTTTAAAGACATACCCCTTGAGCCTCAGGGTTTCCAGGTTAGAGAGGCAAGAAAATGTCGTAGAAAGATGCAAGAAAGGAGAATACACCTTCAGCTCAAAGTTAAAGGACAGATCAAGCTGCACAAGGCTGGGGAGAAATGTCAAGAACTGAGCATCTCCAATCTCTCTCACAAGGAAATTTTGGGAGAGGTCAAGTTCTTTGAGATTCTTGATGTTTTTAAACCAGCTGCTGGGTATGCTCTGAAGAGAGTTACTGTGAAGCCGCAAAATCCTTAAATTTTCCAAGGAGTCAAAAGCCTTTGAATGTATGTGAATCGAGCTCTTGGGACAGGGAATGCAAGGATATGGGGCATTATAGCAACGTGGACAATTGCCACTTAGGTCGAGAATTTCTAGGTTGGGAAGGCCACTTAAATCCTGTTCTTGAATCTCTTGAATCCTGTTGTTGTAAATATACAATTCCTTTAAAGTAGATGACAAATTGGGTGGGACTTGTGTTAAGTTGTTGGACTTCAGGGATAGTATTGTTAACTTTTTCAGTCCCAGGAAGGCTGTTTCCTCAATTTCAAATGAAACATTACATGGGTTGCGGTAGTAACAGTTCTGTCCAAGATACAATACCTCTATGTTTCCTAGCTCTGAGAAGCTGGCTTTTTGGATAGAAAAGATATGGTTTGCTTCAAGGCTCAGCAAGGTTAAAGTAGCAGGAAGACCTTGAGGTATTCCTGCCAGCTGGTTTGCATCCAAATACAATGACTTCAATCTTGTCAGGGCCGCAAAACTGCCATTCTCAATTTTCAGTGGGCTGGCGCACACATGATTTTTGGGCCCCAGTTTCACAGGCACACAGTTGCACCTGAAGTCAATCTCCTGGAGGTTTTCAAGATGATCAAAGGATGTTGGGTAGATGTGGGGAATATGGTTAATGCTCAGGGTAAGGTTGGTAGCGTTTCCCGGGATCCCTCTGGGGATTTCTGTAAGGCGCCGGTCGGTGCAGTCCACTGTCACAGTATCTTCTGAAGGTTTGACATCACAGGGTAAAGTTTTGGGAAACCAAGCCCCTGACAGCAGCATTGGGAATATGAAGAGCAAGATAAATGGCAATGCCTTTGACATCTTTGCACAAGGTACCTAAAACCAAGGAGAAATGGAGGTATTAGTTTCATGCAATCAGAATATTTCATCTATACACTGGGTCAGGCCAACTTTACAGCTAAATTCTGTTTTTTGTCTCACACTGACCAAGAATTAAAACTAAGCACATGAGTAACACCTTCCGCAAGAAAATAATATTTGTTATTGCTCAGATCTAGAATTTCTAAAAGTTTTAGTTCTTTGAAAGCAGTTTGGTATAGCAAATCAACCCTGTTGTTAGAAAAATCCAGATATTTCAATTCAGACAAGTAAGAGAATTCACTTCCATTTAAAGTTTGACTTATTGCATTACCTGACAAGTTGAGACATTTGAGGGAGCGAAGTCCTTGGAAGTCTGAGGGGTTAACAAAAAATACATTGTTTCTGCTTAAATCCAGAGTTTTTCCGTAGTTAAGGCAATCTTCCTTAACTAAAGACTGGTAGGAAGAAACCTCTACGTCTTTGGAACGGCAACTTCGCCCATACACATCATACCTGAAATAATGCATTTCTTGTTGTACTTGCCTGCTGTACTGCTCGACTGAAATACCAGCATTAGAGCAAAATCCACAGAAGTTGCTTTCCCCTGAAGAAGGAGAAATTTTATTCACAGAGAGGTCAATGAACTTAAGAGCTGGGAATTCTTCAAACACTGTCATGTCTGCAACTTTAATAAAATTAGTCCCGAGGTCCAACATGGTTAGATTCCGAAGACTGAGCAGTGGATGTAGATCTTGTGCCCTCAGTTCTTTAAAGACATACCCCTTGAGCCTCAGGGTTTCCAGGTTAGAGAGGCAAGAAAATGTCGTAGAAAGATGCAAGAAAGGAGAATACACCTTCAGCTCAAAGTTAAAGGACAGATCAAGCTGCACGAGGCTGGGGAGAAATGTCAAGAACTGAGCATCTCCAATCTCTCTCACAAGGAAATTTTGGGAGAGGTCAAGTTCTTTGAGATTCTTGATGTTTTTAAACCAGCTGCTGGGTATGCTCTGAAGAGAGTTACTGTGAAGCCGCAAAATCCTTAAATTTTCCAAGGAGTCAAAAGCCTTTGAATGTATGTGAATCGAGCTCTTGGGACAGGGAATGCAAGGATATGGGGCATTATAGCAACGTGGACAATTGCCACTTAGGTCGAGAATTTCTAGGTTGGGAAGGCCACTTAAATCCTGTTCTTGAATCTCTTGAATCCTGTTGTTGTAAATATACAATTCCTTTAAAGTAGATGACAAATTGGGTGGGACTTGTGTTAAGTTGTTGGACTTCAGGGATAGTATTGTTAACTTTTTCAGTCCCAGGAAGGCTGTTTCCTCAATTTCAAATGAAACATTACATGGGTTGCGGTAGTAACAGTTCTGTCCAAGATACAATACCTCTATGTTTCCTAGCTCTGAGAAGCTGGCTTTTTGGATAGAAAAGATATGGTTTGCTTCAAGGCTCAGCAAGGTTAAAGTAGCAGGAAGACCTTGAGGTATTCCTGCCAGCTGGTTTGCATCCAAATACAATGACTTCAATCTTGTCAGGGCCGCAAAACTGCCATTCTCAATTTTCAGTGGGCTGGCGCACACATGATCTTTGGGCCCCATTTTGACAGGCACACAGTTGCACCTGAAGTCAATCTCCTGGAGGTTTTCAAGATGATCAAAGGATGTTGGGTAGATGTGGGGAATATGGTTAATGCTCAGGGTAAGGTTGGTAGCGTTTCCCGGGATCCCTCTGGGGATTTCTGTAAGGCGCCGGTCGGTGCAGTCCACTGTCACAGTATCTTCTGAAGGTTTGACATCACAGGGTAAAGTTTTGGGAAACCAAGCCCCTGACAGCAGCATTGGGAATATGAAGAGCAAGATAAATGGCAATGCCTTTGACATCTTTGCACAAGGTACCTAAAACCAAGGAGAAATGGAGGTATTAGTTTCATGCAATCAGAATATTTCATCTATACACTGGGTCAGGCCAACTTTACAGCTAAATTCTGTTTTTTGTCTCACACTGACCAAGAATAGATGTGCAAGTAGGATTATAAGTTTCCGAAGGCATATGTTGGTTTTTCTGCTCAAATGCTTTTTTATTATCTCCAAGAATTCTTGTATTAATTTAAATACCACTCTCTAAAAAATGAGTTATTAAAAAAATATCTCCTGAAAAAGTGAAAAGGGGTGAATAAAGTCTATATCTCTGTGAACATTGTCTTTTACAGGAAAATAAGAGGTATTAAACATCCTGCAGATTGCCATTGTATAATAGCAGAGATGAGCACAGGTACATTTTCAAATCATATGCAAGATAGATAAAATATATATTCACTTAAAAGCTTGTGTAAACTTTCAAAACTTCACTAACAATTGACTGAGTTCCTAATTCAAATTTAACATTATCATAAGTACTCTTCCTCTAGTAAGTGTCAGAATGGATGTAGAGTTGACTTAAGCCAGTCAATGTCTTTATTTCCATAAAGTTTAATACCAGTTTGCATTTTCACTGCCCAATAAGGGAAGAAGGATAGAAAAACCATGTATCCGTGTGAGGTGGGCACATGAAAATCAAAGGCAAGTTTAACAGTGGGCCTGTTCCATAAAAGACAAATAATCAGACTTCATAACCAGAGCCAAAATCCCACAGGCATGTTAAGAATCTTCTCTGTTTGTCAAGTCTTTGCTGACTTTATAGATTTGTGTGTATTATGGAAAAAGTTTTTAATATTTCACAACTTACTAGTTACTTCCTCAGCAGCAATCAGTGTCAAGGAAACTCTGGCTGGCAGGTTGCCAGTCTTGGCTTGTGTGGCACAGGCAGAGGGGCCCGGACCAATCTTGCTGCCTTGCCGAGCATCTTAACTGCTTGTGTCTAGTACTGGTCAAGAGTTTTGAAGACAAGACACCCCAAGAAAATCAACAGCCTCATTTCTCCCTTGAAAACTCAGTGGTGGAGGCTTGCATGGCACATCGAGGGCTCTTAAACAATGAGGATTGGTTACATGTGGCATAATATTGATTAAATGTCAAAACCTAGTTAAGCAGTGAAAATTAGATGATTAGGTAAAATGTTCAAGATACATGGAAATGTTTTTAATTCTTTAGCTGGGACACAAGAACATACAGAGACCTGCCAAGCACTCTGTGTGAACCCTGTTGAGTGCTGCCAAAGCTGTACCTTGCAGGTGATGCAAACTTGGAGGTGAAGTGAGGCTTCCTGTTGTTCACCCTGTTTACTTTAAGCACTCTGTCCCCTGTACAAATTTGTGGTTTTTTGTTACCTTAGAGGACTACGCTGATCTACCTCTGCATCTGTGTATCTGTCTGGAAGAGCACTCTGGTTACTTGCAGGGCAGCAAATGTGAGAGAAGTTAGATCAGGTCTCACACAGCACTGCACTTCTGCTACCTTGACTCAACATCCAAATGGCATCACTTTGGTAATTCCTTCAGTCATCTTTGGAATTACAGAGCTCCAGTATAGAAGGAAAAATGTAAAAAGTCCACTGCAGACCTTGACTTCAGTGTAACCTGATATAGTGACACTGCTACAGTGCTACCAGTTTCTTTGCCCATTCCCTGGCAGTGCTGCAGTGCTTTCTTCTTTTCCACAGATCCTCTGGGAAAAGACAAGGTAGCTAAATACCATGGCTGGCAGCCACGGCTGTCATTTATACAACTATTCAGGGAAGGCTCATATGGACTAACCGGGCCATGCCTGTGTATTCATATTTTATTATCTCCAACTCTTGTGTTTTCATTTGCTAGGTATCAAATCAACCATCATTTGGCTTATTGGAGTTCACTTGGGAAACCCACCCAGAGTTCACTGGGTAAGAAAGTTCACCAGTGTTTTCAGTACAGTCTAGCCAATCCGTTTTAGAGCAGGATTAAGTTTTTTGATCACCTGATGTAGAAAAGCACTTGGATAAAAATGATAAATGAGACTAATCAGAGTAAGTGGGAAATGAATTTGGAAAAGATAAAAGGCATTAATTTCCTCTCACCACCCAAGCTTTTCAGTAGAATCATTTTTTCTCCAGTAATGTGGTCAGGGATGTGGGAAGGAGAAGGAAGGACTCTGCCACTGTTATTAAATCACATGGAAAATTGAAGGTCTTTCTTAGAGTGACAAGAGACACTGCCAAAGAAAAATCTGGATATATTATTGAAAAAAATTGCCTTCCTTAATTCTTTCCCAGGGGACACAACATATTATACATGTAAAGGATGTTAGGAGACTAATGGAATACCAAAGAATGCCTATGCTACCATGGTCTGTAATGTCAGTGCAGCTGCCTGCCTCCATTTCCTGCATTAGCAGACTGATGAACCCCAGAATTAGTCTGGTTACCCAAGGCAAGTGCCCATGGAGCACAGCACCACTAAAATTGGAGTGGGAGAGAGAGAGAGGCCTCTGCAGGAACTGCTGGGTTTGAAGATTGAGGGAGAGCTGCCTGAGTACACATCAAGCAGAGATTAATGCTGCACATTTAGGTGCCTGAAATTAGGTGCTCTGAATCTGGGGTTTGAAAGTCTTCATTGAATATTTTTTTGAATATACTTCTTAAGAAAAGATTCTTGAGTCTTTTAAAATGCTCAGGTTTTCAACTCTCACATATTTCAGTATTTTTAGGAGCCTAAGAGTTGTTGCAGAGCCAGCCTAGCTACTACCATCTTTGTGCTTCATTTCTTTATATGTTCTTCCCTTTACTTTTTAATCTTTTTAAAGCATTAGCTATTTGAACTGTAAAGAGTTACATTCTGGTGCAGTGTCTGGCTATTTGCGTGTGTGAAACTTCACGCCCATTATAGCACCAGAACAAACAAAAAGTCTTCTAAATAAGAGGAAAAAGCAATGCTGTCTTGTGCAATGTCTTTGCAATGAGAGGCCTGCTTAAAAGTATGGGAGCTGTTCTTTTCTTTGCGATCTACGCTTGGCTTTATAAGAAGTTTGAAATGAATTAATCTACTGGTCTTAACTGGCATGTGCATAAACTCTTAATGATTTAGGGTATTCTTCAAATATTGAGCAAAAGTACAGCTATATGTTTCTGAAGGAAGGTTTTCTGTAGATGTTCCACACACATTTTATGGTATGACAGGAGGAAAGGGTAAAGAAAAATAAACACCAAAGAACTTAGAGCATTTCGATAAGACATTAATTGCTCATTCTGTAGCACTGCTGTACAATGAGTTTTAATGCAAATTAATACTTTCCTTTCTGGTCATGATGCATTGCAATTTCTAACCATAACAGTAAACCATACCATTTACAAAACAGAAAAGCAGAATACGTTCATAAAAGTCTTCTACAACAGTTCCAGTCAAAGATACCTAAGAGCAATTTAAAATGAAAGTTTAACATACCATTGTCTGTGTGCTTCCAGGTCTAGCAGATTTGGTGCTGGAAGAAACTATAAAACAGAGAAGAAAACAGCATCAAAGTGGTTTCCAGTGGTTCAGCTGAGGTGCAGAAGAGAATGCAACGTGACATAACTCACTCACGACAACAGCAGAAATCACTACTCTATCACTATTTTTCACCTTAATTGCAGCTTGAGAAATAATTGAATGTGAAACAACTGCTGCAACCTACTTCCTCAAACATTTGTACTTTAAACAACAGCACCTCATCTGCTGCTCCACCCCCACAGAAATAACTGAGTACTCTTATTTTCCCCCTTTTAAACAAATTCTTACATTACTCATACATCCATGTGCTTTTATTCTCATATCCTGCAATTTGCATAGAAGACTATGCTACTTTTGAACAGAGTTTTAATTTCAAACTGTGTTTTACCTAGAAACAGTGCCACACCATAAAAAACTGTAAAAAGTTTAACATCCAAGCTATGGGGAATTCCAAAAGACAACTGTGAAATATTTGGCCATGAAGTTTAAGATCAATCAGCAAGGAGAAAAATGTGTTACATAACCATAAGTCAGTCACTTCAGGCTAAACTAAGATTTGAAGAAGCTCAAGTTCCTCCTTTCCCCCTCCCCCTCTTTTTAGCGTAAGCTGCATGAAAAGAGAGACAGAAGTTGGTTATTGATGTTAACAATAATTCAGTTTTAAAAGTTTAGTCATTCTTATTATTATTTGGCGTCCACTACTGACGAAAATAGTTTCAAGAACAGGGAAGGTTCTAAGTTGAATACGGAAGAAATGCCTATTAAGTGAATGGGACTGTGGGGAAGGAAACAAACCCAATAAGGATAAAAAAGATAGCGGCAAGGGCACAGGAGATGGCATAGAACAAGGTCAAAACTGTGTGGGAGAGTGCAGAAGGGCCAAAGCTTAAAACTACATGCATAGACACATGCTGATGACAATCCAGCATTTCACATGACATGGTTTCTTTCAGACAGTTTCATACTTACAAGCCTCCATGCTCACCAGAACAGACTGCTTTGATTTTTAGGATATTAGCAGGAATTTGTGGGGTTTTTTCATGCCTTCCTTCTCCACATATTTTTCTTTACATTTGCAATTGCAATTTATAATTTTTCTGACTATGGTGGAGCTGAGAAATTAATTTCAGGTAATAGGAACTTGAAGAATAAAGAGGGAAAGAATTTGTAACCATACTTTCAAATTACCTGTGTTTAGTGATTGAGTCATATAGACATAAACAGGGAAGTTGTACAGCATCATTGCCATTTCAATCAAGGCCTAGAAAAGGACGTATTAATCCCCAAATATACTAATTCAGGACTATATTTCTCACCTTTGTGCCTGAATATTAGAAGTAATGCAATGCAAAATGATTCTTCTTCTCTTTACTGATAACTGGATTTTGCTTTTCAAAAAACACTGAAGTTTTCATTGGGTACTCCATAACTAATGCAAAAATCTTACTAAAATCCTGCTGTGTGTTGAAAGACCATTCAAGACATTTCTGGTAGGAGGAAAACCTTGGCTCTACGCTAGCAAACACTACACTAGCTATTCTGCTCTGGATATTTCACTGTGTATGTCACAACAAAGGAAAGTTAGCTTCCACTCATATTATTGACCCTATGGCAAAGATAATGTGCTTAGCTAATTATGAAAGAAGAGAGTAATTTGACACAAGCTGGACTGTGTTGATTTCTCCAGGTACCCAGCCATATCCCTGCTATGCGACAACAGAACATGAGATGCTTAATATCTACTTGTTTTGGTTGCAGGTGGGTTTCTTAATCCATGTCCAATGACCCAAACCAGTAATTTTTTGCAAGTGCACAGGGTCTTTGGAAATCTTCCTTGCAGTCTAAACCCACAAACTTCAGATATTTTAATACCTAGGCAGGCACTCATCATTTTATTTTGAAATAAGGCTGATCCTTCTTTATATTAGAAACTTGCTGTTACCCATCTAAGAGCACAGGAGTTTCAATTCTGTATAGAGTGAAACTGCAGGTTTAGCTAAACATTAATAGAAGCACAGAGCGTGCTTTTGCTGCTTTTTTATCCTTAAACCTATGAAATGTGGAAAGCAAAATACAGCAACATTTCCCTTCAAAAGTGGTGAAAGCAAATGCACTGCAGTTCAGAACTCTTGAATATAGTTTGATTTTTGGAGGCACAGGGAGTTACTGGTTTACTGATTTTAAAAGTTCTGTTTCCCTCAGAAGTTGCACATAATCTCTTGCCTCCTCTGAAACACAAAGTAACCAAAAACCAAAAAAGTACTTCCTACTACATCACATGTTAGGGGAGGACCCACTGGTAAGAGGAAATGTATATTGCTGCTGCTGTGAGTGAAGAATGTAATTTAAAATAAAGCAGGAACCTGTAATTGCTTTAGTCCTTCATCTGTGAGTTTTGTCATCAGTTTGCTTGTAATCAGATTGGTGAATTCACACTTCCTTTTTTCCCCCCTTTGTCTTCTAAAAGGAAACTTAAAGCAACTTGCTTTAACTTATTTATCAAAATCAGGATTCCACTGTGTTCATCTTAAATCTGGGTAGCTTATTTGCAGCCCTAAGGTCTTGCAGCAATGCCGTCTTTCTAAAGTGCTGACCCTCATTTCAAGAATGAGTATACAACCCCATCCACTCATACAACATTCAGTGTAACATTGCGTAATTTACCCATGAAATTATTCAAGAAAAGCAGTTGTCTTGCTCAGTTTTTCAAATACATAAGTTGATTCTGCTAACTGATGTAGACAGATGTACAAAAAGAACCAAAAAGAGAAATGGGCAGCAAAATTGAGGAAATGATAACAAAATCACTTGCAGATGCCTTAAAGCTTCTGTATGTATGATCTGTGTATATAGTGTAAGACCCTTGCTGATAGCTGTTGCAAAAATGTATTTGCAGGCACTAAAACTAACCAAATCAATAAACAGAAGACAGCATTGGAGGAGACTGGCCTATAACAAGAGCAGAGGAAGCACTCAGGGCCTTGGCGAGCATGGAGAAAATGACAGGGTCTAAAGACCAAAGAGAAATTAAGCTGGCTACTACAGAAAAAGAGAACAAAGTATTCCTATAAAAGCATTAATAACCAAAGAAGGGATAAGGAGAATCTTTATCTCAGTTCAGTTTTGGACTCTTCATACAAGAAAGACATTGAGGTTTCACTCCCCACAGTCCAATCCCTCAGCACCAGACTCTTAGCATTTGACATTTAAAACCCCTGGGAGTCTATGACAAGAGCTTCCAGCAAAGCTGCAAACATCAGATACACTTACCAAGAAATCAAAAAATGTGTATGTGCACTAGGGCAGTGGAACAAGTCAATATAAAGTTTATGTACAAATATGAGCTAAATCCTCCAACTTCTGCAATGCGGTAATTTTTTTGTTATCTAAAAAGAATGCTGCAGGGACAGGAATGTTTCCCACCAGGCTGAACTGACAGATCTTCAGACAAGAATCCAGGTATGGACCAGGGAGCATAGAGAATTAAACACCAAAGCCCTCACCATTTTCTGTTCCCATGGCTTTAAATTCTGTCAAAATGGAGGCAATTTTCACAGAGCTGTTGGAAGTCACCTGTAACTCTTCAGAAGTATTTTGGGTGCACAAGCTGCAGCACATACAGTAAGATTAGTTCTGCAATTTTACTTCTGCTCTTTCCCCCATCTCATCGTGTTAAATGTAGTTGAGTGGGTTTGCTTCCAACAATCTGCTGCATAAAGCAAGTGAATTGATACAGTGCATTAATTGTATTGCATGCCTTTTGTGTAGTATTTGGGTGTAAACTTGGTATAATTACATAGCCCCAGACTTGGGGTCTAACAACATAATTGCAAAATAATGTGATTATCTGATATTACATTTAATAAATTTCTTTACCAAATATTGTAAATTCATTTCCACTGTTGTAACATAATTCTGAAAATTCAACTCTAATGAGGAACTTCTCTGAGAATAAGCAGCTGAACTGAATTCTCGCCACAAGAGTTTATATAATCTATTTTTGTATTCATCACTGAAAGCACTACAGGTGAAATTCTACTTTATAGAATTGCTTCACAGAAGCAATACAAAGTTACTGGGTAAAAAAAAAAAATAAAGACCAATTAGATTTATTCTCAGAGGAAAAAAAAATTCCTTTCTGAAGACTGTCTTAACTGGAATGAAAAAAAATCACTTTATAATACATCATTGTATTATTATAAATATATCCCCAAATAAGCAAGATTGGATGAAATAAGGGGTTTTTTATGCAGCACTACAGCAAGGAAGCACCTCTCAAGTATGACAATGCTTTTGTAATTAAAAACTGCAATTTCAGGTAAGAGATTTGAGTTCCTGTGATCTAGGTTCAGGGATAGCATTTTAATACACATTACTCTTGTAATAGAAAGACTGAAACCAGTTCATAATAGGATTCAAAGACAATTACAAAATTATAATTTTGAGTCCTGACCCCCCCACCCTAATACATTACTGACTGCATTACCCATATTTAACCATAAACTGACCCATATTACAACAGCAAAAATTGTTTTCATAACGATTTTAATTTTTTAATGTTAAAAGAAATGTTTCTCATGTTTTCTAATGTAAATTCAAGATTAGTTACTGTACCCCAGTTCACTCACTGCACAGTCAAGTAATGTGGTATTTTGTAACAGAAATTTGGAGAAGATCCATTGACTGTGCAGTTTGAAAAAACCCTGTATTTTCAGATACTTTTCAACCATGGTACAGACCAATCTGTGTGTTTAATTTTCTGTTCGGACTTGGCACAATAAATCTTTACAACATTAACAGGAAAGCTTTTATAAAATTTTTCCTATCATCACAATCAGGGAATATATAAAACTACAGAGAAAAAAAAGAAATTTACACCAAACTGCTCATGATTAAAGCTTAGTCATTGTTTAGACAAGTGATATTAATAATACTGGGAATACTGAAACATCAATCTTACCAGACAGCAACTTTACAGAATAGATGTTAAGCAAACAATTTAATATTAAGAGAGTTTTACAAAAGAAAACAGCAGCCCCAAATATCTTGTGGGGAAAAAAGTGAACACTAAGTGTATCAAACAGGTCATGCTATGTGTATGTCAACAGTTCCTCAAAATTAACATGACCTTTACATATGGTTAGGGCTTACAAAATACTGTTCATGGTACTTAAACAAAAAACCCCAGTTGTTTGCCCAACAGATTAATAGATACAAGAAACTCAGGTCTGTAGCATTTAGCTTAACACAGAGAATGACCTTACACTTATACATCCTGTTAACTTTTGTGAACAGTTTGTAGTTCTGTATAGAAAAATGGATCTGACACAGCAGTCAGCCAAATGTGAGAACAGGCACATAGAAAAACTTGCACAACACACAAGACTTCCAGACTCTCAAGAGAATTCTTAGGGTTTCTGCAAGATGGAGATTTATTGCCCATTTACAAAGAACAAATGGTAATTACAAGACAAATATGATAATTAAACATACAAGCTCTCGAATTGTACAAAGATAATAATTTCTCATGGTTGATGTGCATAGTTAAAAACAGTGCTAGCTTAAGAGACCTTTGCAAAGATGCAGTGTAATCCCCTGCAGTTACAAGGGGACGTGACTGAACAGGTAAGACACTGATTCACCATTGTGTGTTCTTCGAATTGCCTCTGCCAGAATCATGGAAATGTCAATAAACTGAAAGAAAAATTAAGAAGAAAAATGTGATGGCATGCCAAGAGCAATAAACTACACAGTTTAGAACCATATAAACATTCCATCTACCTTGGTAGCTTTTATTTCTAGAAAGTAATAAAACACTAAAGCTTAGACATTTAATATACACATAAGAACTGCAATAATACCAAATCAAAATTCAAAAATGGAGTAAGAAAGCATTGACTAGGATCACTGAACAGTCATATTCTTGAGTACTTCTGACAAGGCATGTTGTCAAAAAGCCCCACTATTCTTGCCATCAGATGGCAGTGTCTGCTTGACATAAATACAATTTAAAGGAAGCACATCTTTTTAAGTGCTTGCCCTGTTTCAATAAATACCAAATGTTAAGCTTTTTAAAAATCCAGTAACGCATTTAAAACCTCAATCTTTTATGCTTTGCTCCACTGTGTACTAAGGAAAACCTCCAAAAGGGACACATGACTTTTCAGAACAATTCCATTTGTGTTTTTCAAGAAAAAATAATGTCACCCAAGATTTTTGTGACCTCCTCAACAGAATAACTAAGGTCCTACATGCAAATATTGTATGAATAATATTGAAAAGATAATATTAAAAAAAAAGAAAAACCCAGTCAATTTTACATTTGTCACTCTTTCACAATCAAGCATACTCAAGGTGTGGTAAATACCAAATATTTTGAAGTGCCCTATTATATTACCAGAATACCCTTAAAGCAGTTCTTCTGCATGTTTGCAAAACATTTTGCTAAGACAATGTATTTAAGAGTATTAATTTTGTCTCAAGGCACAAATTCTAGCACCAGTGAGCAGGAAAATACAAACACTGAGATTAAAGGAATGACATAAAAACACCACTGTACCTGTATTTTTGGGCAATGTTTCATTTTCTCCTCTTGGGGGATTGTGTTGGTTACCACAACAGCCTCAAATGATGCATTATTAATCCGAGAGAGGGCAGGACCAGAAAAGATGCCATGAGTCAGAATGGCATAAACTTTAGTAGCTCCAGCAGACATTAACCTGTAGAACACACAAAAATAGCATGCTATCATGCATGTATACATGCATGGCTATAGATGAAGCTGGATACAAATCTCTAAAATACATTTTACTTACAAAGTCCCACATATAAAATATCTACAAAATAATTCCGATATTTGTATAACCTGAAGAAGTTTGAATTGACTCAGAAAAATTCCCAACAAAAATTATAATTAAATTAAAAAGTTCTTATTTGCAGCAGTGATACTAATCTACAATGCTGCACTTTTGACCATACCAGCACAACATAAAAATGAACTCCAGTACAAGCTTTCTATCTTAACCAGGCAAAAAATTAAGTCGGTTGGATTGTAGAATTCACAACTCTGTTGTGCCTCCATTATAGTCCACGTTTATTTTCATTTGCAATTCAAACAGTTCTGCTTGGAAGGAGTTTCTGAGGAAGAAGAAATGTTAATGATTAAAAGCCTAGCTTACTACAAGGTTGTGGGAAAACATGCTGCTGATCCAAGCACTCAGTGAAGTGATGCATGAGGAGGAAAAAAAGTATAAATCAAAGAACTAGAACACCTTGTGAATGAGTCAAAATATCCTAATTTAGTTTCTAATGGCCTCAATGCCTCTAGATGCTCAGCTATGTCCTACCTGCTTCTCTAGCCTTAGAAACAGAGGCCCTGAGGGATGGCATTTTATCAGATCATCACAAAGGCACAAGAGGAAGCATAAAAGAGAAAAAAAAAAAGACAAAACCACAGAAACATCATCTCATTTTGAATGATTTAATAGAATTTAAGTTTTCTGGTCATTTTCAGCACTACATTTAGTACCTGCAGCCTACAAGGTGTATCCATTACAACAGGGTGAGTGTGTATCAAGTGTGTGTACTTGAGTTTGTACTTAAGTAAGCTGATTTGTTGTATCTGAAAATATGTTCCTTAGTTCATTTCCTTGATATGCATCTAGGTTACTGAGACAAAAATACTTCTAGGGAGTATTTTGATGCACGAATCTTATTATACACAAAGTACATCCCACCTGGATTTGACATAAATGAAAAGCACTTGTTCATGCCAAGAACACGACACAAGGCAGCATCACTGAAGCAAAAGTATCTTAGTGAACGCTGCAGATACATTGAAGGTGATTGACAATTTTAGAATTTGGTTTATTTCGTCTCTAGAAATGTACTGCAGGCAAATGAAGAGTGCTTCTTTCAAAACAGGAAAAAAAATCAATGTTTTTGACAGGAAATAACTTCCTCTATGCACAAGAGTACTAAAAAAATGTTAGCTAGGCAATTTCTGATTTTGATCTGCAAGGGGCACAGCCTAAAGAATACTTTGAGGTATGATGCAGATAGCAAACAACTACACAACATCTCTGCAAAATTTCATCAAATTTCCATGAAAATTGTAAGAAACACAAGGCTATATGTCAGTTTTGACATCCTTTATGTAGGTGCAAGCAGCAAGTCTGCAACTAAAGACTGTAAACTTGTGAGATTAACTTTACTTCAAACCACCGAGAACAATGTCTAACTCACTTGTTGCTTTCATACCATTTCCCACAGCAGTCCCCTGTGGAAATTTGCATCACGTAGCTTGTACAGGTATACTTTTCACTGGGTAAAAAACAGGTTGGATGGCTGGACCCAGAAAGTGGTAGTGAATGGAGTTATATCCAGCTGGCAGCCAGTCACTAGTGGGGTTCCCCTTGGGCCAAACCCATTTGACATCTTCACCAGGGATCTGGACAAGCAGACTGGGGGCTCCCTCAGTTAGGTTTGCAGGTGACACCAAGCTGGGTGGGAGTGTCAATCTGCCTGAGGGCAGGAAGGCTCTGCAGAGGGATCTGGACAGGCTGGATCAATGGGCTGAGGCCGTTTGTATGAGGTTCAATAAGGCCAAGTCCTAGGTCCTGCACTTTGGTCACAACAACCTCATGAAGTGCTACAGGCTCAGGGAAGAGAAGCTGAAAAGTTGTCTGGTAGAAAAGGACCTGGGGGTGCTGGTTGAGAACCAGATGAACACTAGCCAGCCTTACTACCAACCTGAAAAGAACAGGCATAAAGGCACCTGGAAAACCATAAATAATCCTTTCTACTTAGCACCGCTAGAGCCTTAGTTAGGATAGTGGGTCTACATTCACAAGCTCCTCTTCAAGAAGTAGAACAGCTGGAAGGAATCCAGAAGGCATCACAATTGAGCAGAAGTCTACAAACCTTGTGGAAAGACTGAACAAACTGAAGTTACTCAAGTCAAGAGGGAAATGAGTTCAACCAGCTTTCAGACAGACGACAGGAAAACTTATGCTCACCTCCCCAGATGAAAAGGACAAGCTGTTTTATGCTTGAGATGTACAGTGAAAAGTAATATTACATTTGCATTGGACACTATGGTGAAAATACTTTACAGTGTTAAATCCAGTAAAGCTTTGTTAAAGATTGCCTAAGGAGAGTGGAAAGGCTCCATGATGAGGTTCAAGAAGGGAATGATTTTTGAGCTGTTGCTTCTGCCTTGGAACTGTAAAGTGCACTAGATGGCCCAAGCCCTTTTCCAGTTATGACATTTTATTTATTCTGTGCTCTTCCTAGGTACAGATCATATATTTCTGTAAATATTTTCTCAATTTCATGTTCTCAAGAAGGACACAGCTGAATCACAGAACTGTGACCTGTCAATTCAAGGGTCAGAATGACTTCATACTACAGAGGTCAGGTTGGGTTATAGGCTTTGAGGACAACTGTATTCATCAGCTGTGCAGTGAGTGAGAACACTACAGTGAGACAGATCATAATAACACTTACTTGTCTGCTGCATGACATATTGTGCCACACGTGTCAGCCATATCATCGACAAGAATTGCTACTCTGTCTTTCACATCACCAACCAAGACCATTCTGTCCACTTCATTTGCCTTCTTTCTTTCCTTATGAATGAGAGCAAATTCCACATTCAGTCTGTCAGCAATTGAAGTAACCCTAAGTTACAGGAAGAAATACACCATGTTTAGAGAACCATTTTAAAAGGAAAAACAGTCATATAAATGCTTTTGTCACAAAACACAGTTTTTGTCTTCTGGCTTTCAAATCACCACAGCAAAAACTTTTGCAAGGAATGAGACAGGTAGAAGCAATCTTAATTCATTGCTAATTATGAACCAGAATGTCTTAAGCTATACCCCAAAAATTGTTTTTTTAATTGAGTTGACTTTGTTTTTTTGTCATTAAATGCCTGGCTTTGAAAACATTTCAGCTATTCACAAGCTTTTATTAAGCTGCTACAATACCAGTCACACTAGGTAATTTAAAGTAGGGGGAAGTCAATTCTAAGCCTACGGGAATGTGCACTTTTACACTCTAACTGGAAAATACTATTGCAGGGTTTGAAACCAAGCCAAAGGGAGAAAAAACCCAAACAAGTTAACAGTGATTAATAATTCTTTTCACAGTACTTGACTAGTAATCAAGTAGCTTACTTCATTAATAATTCCCTTAGCATACATCTGCTTAACAAAGAACTTTTAAAACTCTTCAGGGTGACCTCTGGTGGCCAAACTTCTAATAATAAACTTGTTACAGACTTCTGATTGCTTTCTCCCAGTTTGTTTAAAATAGTAGAGCTCTTAGGTATAAAGAGACAGGAAAAAACAATTCCATGTTTTTTTCTAAATGCTAATGCAACCTTTTAGCCTGCCTTTTTAGACTATGTCTAGAATGTTGTTTACAAGATTATTAGCATGCATGGTTAATAGAGAATACAGTTTTGTTTCTTTACCACTTAAATATGGAAGTTTTAGTTACTGTATTTCAACAAATGGATGATAAACAAATCCAAAATTTTTGGCATATTTTATGGATAGTGTAATTTCATAGCAAGTCTCAATACTTCAGAGGCATTAAGATATCAATAGAATTTCCATGCCTTATTTCAGTTGCAACATCTAATAAGCTAGGGAAAAACCAAGTGAGTGGTAAGAAACAAAAGAGAATTCAAGTTTTTTAAATGAGTACAAGAAAATGGATTTATTTTAAATTAATACTTAACAGATTTAAATTTTAAGACCATTCATGTTCAATTTTCACGTTCCATTAATTTTTTATTAGGTTTCATTTTGAAGTTCTACACAGAACTTCATTTTAAATGGAAAGGCCAAACAATATTATTTACATTTTATTACTGGAGGTGAAGGAGAAGCTATGCATTTATTGAGAACAACTTCTACCTCTACTTCACTAGAAACTGGTTGGTTGCACTACAACAGAATGATACTAAAGATAGACTGTACTATCTATATTAAATAAAGTAAGAGTGATCTTTGAAAAATAAACTTGTATGATTCATTTGATAATGCAAAAATATTTGGTAGGGGAAAAATGCTGTCTTCTGAATTGAATTCTAAGCAAAGATTGTATTTTGTGTTAAAAACAAAACCAACAAAAAAAATCAAATGCAAAAATAAAAGTATTCTGATAGGAACAAACAAAGAAATTTAATTGACTAAGTGATTTTTTAGAATGGTTTCTATGTTCTTCACATCCTTAACTTGATTAATTAAAAAAAAAATCCAAACAACTAGGAGTTCCACTCAATCTTATTTCCCTAAAAATCATTACAACATGAACACTCACAACAGACTCAAGGACTTCAATTGAAATCAAATTATGGCAGTCTTTCACACTTCTCCCCATACTACATTTCAGACATTTAAATTGCTGTGGGCTTATAGGAGCCTTACTTCATTTGTCTTTGTTCCCTCTGCAGCAGCAGGATGAGCAATAAAACCTGAGAATAAGCATTTTGCCTCAATGGCATGCTTTATGACCTCACCAGCCAGTCTGCTTCTGAGCTTTGGCATTGGTTTATGCTCAATCAATACCAAATAAAACAGAGTCTGCTAAATGAATAACACATGCTGTGAATGAAGAAAGCCTCCAATGAACTAAGTTTTCTATTTGTACCCTTTGCCACTCAAACTTTCATTCCCTTTTTCTAGTATTTATAGAGCAAAACTTGGGGTCAGCAGGTTTACATCTGGAACACAATAATGTAGAGAAAAAAGAAATGAGTCCAGCAAGCTCTTACCTAAATGCCAGCAGGTACAGTGGGAATAGGCCATATGCTTTGACAGAGAAGGGAAGCTTAGGCAATTCCAGAGCGAAGCAGGAAGAGGTGCAGCAACTTGACTAAAGAAGCAAGCAGCAGGAAAAATCTCTTCCCTCTGGTGGAGGGATTCAGCTAATGAGGCCATATCCAGGGAGAGAGAAAAACAGCTTCTTTAGAGTATAGAAAGCTCCTGAATGTTTTCAAGCATGAACAGCATTGGAAGAACTAGTTGTTCTCTTTTTACAATACAGTTGGATCCATCAGTGATGTTCCCTATATCTTGCACAATTCATAGAGGAATATAGAAGACTAGACAAATTAGATCATTAACAACTAACTACATGTACTTCTAATTGGTTTAGGCTTGTATAGTACCTTTTTGCACCACCTGCATCAGGTGAGACTATGATACAGTTTCTCCACTCTGGAATGTTCTCTTTAATCCACTGCAGGACTGCAGGTTCTGCATACAGGTTATCTACTGGAATGTCAAAGAAACCCTAGTCCAAAAGAGAAAGAGTTTCATGAATATGTGTTTGTATCTTACCTGGAACGAAGACAAAGGGAAAGAATCAAGCCTTTGCCTTTCATGAATGGCAGAGCTTCATTAGTATTTTACACTGGTCTAATTCTGCTTTTGATACTGCTGTAAAATGTTGCTGAAGTCAAATAAACATTAAGGTCTTGAAAAATATCACCCAAGAATAGTGAAAAAGGAAACAGGTGTTCTCAATTGATGTAAAAATCAGAAAAGATGATCACCTTCAGGCACTCAAGTAAATTCATGCTAGTGAGAAGCTCTCAAAACATCCAGGGAATAATACTCAACTTCCATAAATTTCAACTGCTTGACATTAACAGCAATATTTCAACATGGGGAGGACTCAAACTAAAATGGAATCCTTGTACAAGTTGTAAAACCAAGCAATCTGGTTCAGACCTTTTTATTTATGTGACAGCCATCTAGCATAATAAGAAATTCTGATTAAATGGAGCGCCAGAACTGAAAGATATGGCATTTTCTGTAAAAAATAAGTTCTCTTAAAACAAGGTACACATGAGAATGACAAATTATGTCTGCCTCTGTGTCTGAGGCAAAGGTTTTGTGATTTGTTGGATTCAGCAGTAAGCCAGATAAGGGTTGCCAGGCTCCATCTCCACTTGTTTTAAGAAAATATTACACCCTTGGCTGTAACAACAAAACTCTACCTAGGGCAGCACTGCAATCTCTGACAAGGCTAAGATTAAGAGAACTTGCCCCAAGCCAGTATATTTTATATTCTGGAAGCTCTTACATTAGACTTGGCAAATTCTACCAAAGACTCCAATGCACAAATATTTGAAGTAACTGCAAAATCACCCCATAAAATCGAGACTGATCTCTTTCTAAAATTGAGTTTCATTAGAAACTGGTAGCAAGACTTTCTCTGAACCCTCACAGTTCTGTACATAGCCTTTCAAAATTATGACCAAAGCCACAGAGAATTACTATCAGCTTATCACATTAATTCAGTAGAGCTTCTAGGACAGCAGGCAAGAACCAACAGTTACCTGGATCTGAGAAGCATGCAAGTCCATGGTGATGATGTGGTCAGCCCCTGCAACTGACAGCATGTTGGCAACAAGTTTTGCAGAGATTGGTGCACGGCTCTGAGAAATAAAGCACAAACATTTACATTTAAAAAATATTTTGACAGATGCAAAGAATCAGAAGATTAGCTATTTTTTCTTGGTTTTTTCCTTCACAATATTTGGAATCTAGACATGAAAATCTTCAGAATTTCAGTCAAACTCGCCTGTCAATCTTGTTACTGGGGTTTTGAAACTCAGTAAAGCATTTAGAAAGATCTAAATCAGTTTGCACAGTCTGCCTAATAATGCTTTATATTAAAGAGATAAAATTTGGGATATAGTTTTTCAATACTTCTACTTAAAAGTTTGAGCTAACTTCACTTCTCTACTCCACAGAAACACTCAATTCTATCTTGTTCTAAGAAACATTGCAAAACCCAAAGATCAAAGGCAAAATGAACCCAACTTTTGAGAACACTGCTTTAAAACAATGTTAGTATCAAGCATTTCTTCATAACACAGTAAAGCCTGTAGCAGATCCTTGTTGGCAGGGGTCTTTTACCCTGACCTTTTTTATTTAGAATCTATGTTTAATTCCTGGATGCAATTAGGAGTCTAGAACTCCCAAAAGGTACAGGGGAGGATGAAGAAACCTAAGTAGAAAGAGTGAAATAAAAATCTTATTAGCAAAGTTAATGCCAATGTCAAGAGGTTTTTAAAAGCATCAAGGATGCAGAACAAACAAGCAAAAAAAAGGAAACTATAACTGAAGGATACCTCACTTTTTTTTTAGTTACTCCAAAACTTTTCATTTTTTTAAGCTCTGTAAAAACCTGTGTTTCCCTAGACAGCTTTCTCTACACTAGACAAAAGCTCCTGCTTTCTTTTGCTAATCTTTAAATAAGGCTAATAGCTGGCAATAACATTAGCATGAAGACAGAACTGCAAGTCAGAGTTTCCATCTCAATATCAGACTGCTTTCTGCTGGCACAATATTCTCTCCTGCTACGTCTCTTTATCAAACAGCCTCATTTCATCTCCCAGGTACTTCCTCTCCTTCCAGCCCATACACACAATTACAGAGTACCTCTGCTTTCCTTCCATTGGTGCTCAAGGGCATAAGTGACAATGAGCTGAATCACTGACAATTTAGCCTGGATGCTTTTCCATCTGTGTCCTATCAAGAAGCCAATATTTCCATCAAAACTCTTCCTAGTCTAGGTGGACACTGGGCATTTCTCTGTTTTAACCTGCAGATTGATAACACAATTCCAGAATAGAAACTGAGATACTGCAGCCTCATTTTATGGCCAGATCAAGTTTATCACCATCATTACTGAAATTCTTCATTTTGGAAGCCATCCCTTTTGGGTGCTGTGTTTCAGAGAACATCACCACCATTTTGTCTGTGTAAGACACACAGAAAGCAGATGCAACAGCCAGCACTTCCCTAGATCTCTGCAATTCAGATTCATGTTGCTTCCAGAAGAGTTCATCATCATTACTGCTTCAGCACATTTGACTTTCCACTTACTGAGAACAACACTGCTCTTCATTTAAGTTCTGTTCTGCAAGTTGTCCTTTCTGGATATGTCTATTATTAGTGGCAAATTTTTGTTCATGGCATTTGAATTCCTCTTCAGCTCATTTTAGCATCTGACAATTTTAAGCTAGAATTCAAAGTACTCTCAAATCTCTGTCAACATCTAACAAAAAAAAATATTAGTATCTACTCTTTTCATTCTGTGGCAGTGTTCTCTTACCAGCTCTTTGCAAAGCTCTAGTTTAAAGCTGGACTAACAGGGAAATCTGAAATGAGAGGTTTGCTCTCCTGTTTGTGCTATCCTATCTTTCCAGGCTGGACACATCCCTTCATGGGAACCTCATTTAACCTGACCTCATTATTCAGAAACTTGGATTGCAAAGGTAAATGAGAACTCGTGATTTTCCTCATAATGTCGTTTGTAAGGTTCCCTTCTGAAGAGAGAGGTAAGAGCGCAGATTCACAGTATTCATTGTTCAATTCCTTGACGCCATTTTAGATTATTTTCAGAATTATTAGTGTGAAATGCAGCATTAGATTATGTATAGAAACTAAATTGTTAAAAAAAATCACTTGAATTACCAGTGGCAGGGGGAACCCACAAAGCTAATATAAACAACATCACAAGAGTAACTGTGCGAAGGACACATAGCTGAAAGTAAAAGTTGTCCATTAAGATCAAAGCTCTGTTGCCTTAAAGCATCTTAGTATATTGTCTTGCTCAATATTCATCACATGCACACTGAACAGAAAAAAAAAAAAAAGAAAAGAAAAGAAAAAGAAAGGAAATCAAAGAAAGCCCAAAGATTTATAACTGGAACTTTCACTTCCAAGAAAGCCAGTTGTGAAGTGTATGGATACTGAATGCTCACTAATGTATTACCCAAATTTATAATTTCAAAAATGAGATTTGCTTTGAAGCCTCAGAAATTGACAGCCATTATCTTGAATATCCAAATAATTTTTAAACTAGAATCTAGGGGTTTTCTTGTAGCAATTATTCCACAGGATTACTGTCATGGCCTAGGTGAAACACAACTGAAATCAAGAAGTGAAACTGAAAATGTTCCTAGTTATACATAATGTAACCCAGGAAGTTTCACCCTCTAAGGCCATATTAATGGAAATGCGTAGTGTTAGATTAAAAAAAAAAAAAAGATACCTACCCAACGCTCCACGGACCCCTTCTACAAATCAAAAAAACAAAGTTACATGAGCTGTAGAACACCAAACTCATCTGTCACTGTACTTCTAACTTATCTCTGCAGGACCCTACATAAATGTTTCCTGCCCACAGCTTGGAAGGTTGGCATAATTAGAGGATGCAAAAGTGCAGTTATAGTCAAAGCACAGAAACATCAGAGCTATTTTTAAGTTTAGCTAGCTTGTGCATCAGAAATATTCTACTTTAGGGCAGCACTTGACTGAATCTCAATTAATTTACTGACTTTTTTTATCATTCGCAGTAAGCTTTTGTTGTCTTTTTTTTTTAAATCTGTTTCACATTTAAAGATAGTCTAGGTTTAGTGCTAAAATTTTTAGCGCTAAAATTTTCAGAGTAGATTAGATTGTTCAGACAGATTTTTACTACAAGGCCCTTTCCTTACATGACTAAATGAAGAGCACTTTCATTGTTCACAGAAATCATAACTGCACCAGAAGTATGACAAATACATGGTTATTTTAAGTAGCAAGGACTCAGTCTATTTATCTCATAATGAATTAAAGTCACTAACTTAAATTCAAACTAGAAAACAACATCCATGTACTGAAGATTATACTGCTTCAGTTCATAGTCAAGCAAACTACAGCAACGTCTTCCACCACAGAAGAAAATCTGTGTGTGATCATGGGAAGAAAATGGCTGGCACTTTACTGACACTTCAGGCAGCACACAAAGCTTGTGCACTCATGATGGGTCAAAGACCAAGTGATCTGATGCAAGCAGGAGGGAAGATGTCCCTGTCAATAAGCTGCCCAATGTTGACAGCTGTATTATAGCTTATTTTGCAACGTGGAGGTCAACTACCAAGGTTAATTTCCAAAGATGGCAAACATTTTCTCAATTGCAAAACAGAGGGGGAAAAAAACCCCACAAACAACAGCAACAAAAAATATATGCCTACAACTGTGGAACTCAGTGACAAACAGAGAAGAGTCTCGAAAAAAAAATCTCAAAATCTCCATTAATCAAAATCTCTATTAATCAAAATCGCTTTCCTAGGCTATTCATTTTCAGATGGCATTTCTGAAATACAAAATGCTCCTGCATGGCATGCACTATGCTACCACACTGGGGGGTTAAAATGTCTCTGGAAGTCTGCCACATGAAATTTGGGTACCCTTGACAAGACAATTTAGATGCGTGGAAATTTCAGAATATACTCATCCTTTTCCCACACCAAGAACTTAGAGGATGGTACAGCAGAACTTCCCAACATGAAGCAGGAAATCAAAACACAGTGAGATGCTTTCCCTTCCTATCAACAAAATGCTTATTGGTACCCTTTCAAAGTCTTTTGATATAAAGTATTTCAGCCCTTCTGATCAAGGGAAAGCATCATCCACTACAAAACACAGTAAAAGTTAAGTACCAAGAGACATAGGCAAAGAATAGGGTCTTACTTTTTAATTCCTGAATTCCATTTTTGGAAGTATAACAAGTAGACTTTCATTGTAGTATTATGGTATTACAGAGCCTGCACTTAAAGAACTAATATACCAGAAAATACGGTTTTATTTTCTTATTAGATATCATAGGCTGACTATTATATATTTTGTAATAACTGCTATTATTTTTAGCTTCTCCATTACTTCATTCCTGTTAGGTTTTTTATTTGAAAGAATATAAAGACCAACAGAAGGCTTGCAGAATGGTTTGCTTGATGCCCAAAGTGAAAGGGCAGTCCATTTACAAGAAGTAGAGAGACAATTTTCCAAAAATACAACCATTGCAATCCAGTCTTTAAAACCAAATTCACATTTCTTATTACTTCTTTTCAAATGAGCTTAGGTAAAAGTACCATCCCTATAACCTCTCAATGGGTTTTTTTTTTTTGTTTTTTTGGGTTTTTTTTTGGTATATATAGTAAAGTCCAGTTTTCTCTTTTTTAAAATCAGTCTCATTTCTCACAGAGAGTTTGTTACTGTGTTACCAACTTGGTTGAACAGATATATTCATCAGTTATGACAGATAAAACTCAGGAAAAGGGCAATAATATCAGTAGAGCATTTATGGGGTTTCCATACAATTTCTTGTCTTCATAAATCAAAATAATTACTACAGATAGAATTTTTTTTTAATCTGGCTGGCAGCATAAAATAATGTTTTTGTTAATTTTTGTTCTGTATTGTGGATTTTATCAGTTCCTTCCATTTTGCTCTGTTTAATCATCTAGGATAAAACCTACCTACATAATTGTTACAGCATTTTGAATTTAGTATTTAATTCCTTGCAATTAAAATGTTTAAAAAGGTGTTCTCTCCACATGAATAGGGATTTAAAAACCAAAAAAACTTTGAAAAAGCAAGATAAACAATCCCATAAAATGCAGTTTGCTAGCAAAGTACTCTGCAATAGACCACACACATAGAATATATCTACTCTTGCAAAATGAAGGCATGTCATTTATCAAAACACATGCAAAAAAATAACTTCTTGTCTCACTTCATTCCTAGAGGATAAAATAATTGAACATTTTAGCAAGAGAAAAGGATGGGGGGTGGATAAAATCTTTTAAATCACTTAATTGTTTATGAAAATTGTTAATCTCCAAAAATTTAAGTGAGCAAGCTGAACAGAAGCCTTCCAAAATGACACAATTCTTACCTACCTTGTCTTTCTTATCTTGCCTGGCATATGGAAAACATGGAATTACAGCAGTCACTCTGGAGGATGATGCAATCTTGCAAGCATTGATCATGATGAGCAGTTCCATTAAGTTGTCATTTATTTCTCCACAGCCACTCTGGATAATATACACATCTTCCCCTCTCACACTTTCACCAATCTCTACACTGAAAGAGCAGGAGATGATAATTTCAACACTTAAATTACTGGAAAGGCATTACTAATTTTTTTTTTTAAAATCCCGTTGTGTTTTAACAAACTACCACGGGTCTTCTGTAAATTTCCCATTTAGAGTAGGATTATTTTTACAGTGATTTCTCTAACAGCCTCCTTGACAATTTTAATATAAGTCAGTATGGTCTTCTTCAGGTCAGCACCAACCAACAGCTATAAAATCTACACCATGATGTCCAAGTAAAGTGTTTTTAAAAGACAAAAATCTTGCAGAAAAGCTAAGAAGGCTGCTAATCAACAGCTTACCATGGCTCAACTCTCATGTTGTGTCAGTTGTTCTATTTCCTCTGATTGAGCTTACATGCTTTGGTTCCTTATGTCAGTATCTAAGTTTTTTTGTTCTTCCACAGATTTCAAGACAAATTTTGAGTTCAATCACTGCTCACACCACAGAATTCAAAAATTAAATTGAACTTAAAAACAAACAGAAAAAATAAATCTGCTGAATGCATAGTTCTTTCTCAATTCTAGATCTAAGCAAAAGACATCTACTGCTGAACTGCACTAAATTTTCACACCTGTTACTCCAAAAATGGCATAATATAACAGAAAACCTTAGTTTTGCCCTAAATTCATGTACAATGTACACAAAACATACAGACTTCCTAAATAATTAAGTGCTCAGACCTTACAAATCCATGCTCTACTATGCTAGTCTCAGTTATTAAATGCTAGAACATATTGAACCCTTATTTAAAAGGTTGTATCTTTACCCAAGACACAAATAAGCAGAAGTTTGACTGGAAACCACCCAAATAGCCCAAATGTGGGTAGAATAATTTCTCTAATTCAATGCCTTCAATGCTTTGGCTTGCTCTAGTCAAACACAGTCCTAACAAGTTTTGTTTATCAGCTCTCAGGGTGCTATGCAAGACTCATGAGCTTTCTACAGAAAGGAATTTACTGCTTTTGAACATCTTAATGATAAGCACACATTTGATTAATCACTATCAAGATAGTTGAGTACATGCTCTCAGCTGCCCTATTTGAGTTCTCTGCAGCCCCAAACAAACTATATAAAGATCCTGTATTAATTTTTCTCCTGAAATGAATAAATTTTTTTGCCTAAGTACGCTACTAGCAGGATTTCTTAAAGTCAAAAGAAAGCAAATCATCAAACATCAGGTCTCTGGAAGGACAGAGGTGGTCAGGGACAGCATCATCTGCAGATATGTCAGGAAACCTTTGGGACGCTTTCATCATTCCACAAAGACACAATTTTTTAGTCACAGAATTGTTATTTCCCTCTCTAAGTTTTTGATCAATGAAATAAAACTATTCAGAGAATTCTGTTTTGATTGAAATATTTTCTTAGTTTGTTTCCCTCTTTGAAGCTGGACAAGTTTTGGTCAACATAACATTTTTTCAGCAAGATACTAAGTGGGGTACATGATTGGAAAAAATTAGCCAGGCTTAAGTAGGAGCCCTCCTGAACACAAACCCAGCTCCATGTGAAGAATCTACTCACAAGCTTACAGATGTGGCTGCAATCATTATTACAGCTTTGTGGTTATCGTGAGGGCTTAAAAAAAAATTCTAATTGCACTCTGACTCAGCAGTTACACAGACCTGCTTTATAATGAGTGTTGTCTCACACCACACCTTTGGAATATGCCCAAAGAAAAATTATTTTATTACTTAGGGGGAAAAAAAAAAAGGAACAGCTAATTTAAACATTACATACTAGGAAAAAAATTGGCTGAGTGACAAAAGTATATGATCTTAATGTTCACTATATACTGAAAGAACACTTGGAGTTGTTTTACTCTTTTAAAAAACTGTCTCTTCTATGCACATCATTAAAAAAATAACAGTTTTCACAGGGTCAAGGAATATACTTTCAGATAAATATAGGTCTGGTTAACACTGTGTACCTGAAGCGATGATTTTTCCATTGTCATTAATTATATTTTTTTCTTATGATCTTGGGCTACCAATCAACTTGTAAACAACTTAGAAATCAAACATGTTACTTCTTTCTCTCTTAGTGCATTTGAAAAAGAAGCGTAGCTATGTTTTTAAGGCTAGAATGACATACTTACTTGTCACACAGAAATGTGAGCAGTCACATTTCCCAGTCAACAAGACAAAGCTGTGCAACAGATCAGTATCTCTTACTATCTACCTTCCCAAAGACTGGTGTTGAGGTATTGTGTGAACTCAACCAACAGATACACACAGAGATGCCTATTTCTCCTTCTCCAAGCCCGAGAGTGAAAGATAACCAGTCATTGTGTTGCAAGTGTTCCATCAGATACAGCCTGGACTAACCACACTGGTGGGCTGGTGGGGGTTTGGGTGGGTCATGGCTTTTTTTTTTTTTTTTTTCCTGGAGGGAGGATGGGGAATTGTCAGTTAGGGTTTGTTTTGTTTGTGTTTTTTTGCCCCATCCCTTTCTCCTTTTTTTCATATTCAGGCAACCAATAAAAGACTATACACTATAGAATCAGGTATTTGAATGTTGTATTTCAAATATCTATTAGACAACACTAAGCTAACTGCAGTCACACTCTGTGACAGTTATCTTATTAACATTGCTACTAAATTCCCCCATTTATATCATGACCTTATTAACTGTTTACAAGGTTATTTAAACAATTTTACATAGTCAGGACACAGAGGAAGGACACAAAAACAAGCTCTTGCCTCAAGATTACAAGCTCTGTTTGTTTTATGCAATTTAATCAAATTCAGCTATTTGGTAACAGTTTAAATAAATTTCTGCTCAAGAAGAGTCAACAGAACCTGTACATTAAAAGCCCTGACACCACATAATTTTGTTTAAAAGGGAAATTTACAAAAATCAATACCAAACAAAAGTAATTAACTCTGAGCCAGTTGCTTGGCATCCAGAAGCACAAGGCTCTAGCTGGGAAAGATACACATAAGACAGGACATGATGAATACCAAGTTTAAGTGTTGGTATCTGCCTTCAACTTGCACAGGCTGATTTGAGTGTTCCAATTAATAAGTAGAAACTTGGACAGACTAACAACCATGAATTAAGGATACAGCATAAAACCCACTTAGGTTACAAACATATTTCAGTGGCTGAAGCATCCATTAAGAAAAAATCAGAATCAGGAGTAATAGCAGATTGAGATCTTTTTGAGCTAGATTTATAGTGCAGTCCCAGCTGAACTTAGTGATGGGAATTACGAATTTGTATGTCCTAACTAAAAAACAAGCAGCTGTGGGGAAACAGGGAATTAAGTATGTAGAGCCAGACTACAAAGGTAAATAGTAAATAATGTAAGTACATAACTAGGATGTACAAATTATACACTTAAAAGGGCTCAATGTATTTTTAAAAATAATTACAGCAGTTTAAATTTCTAGCCATGCTTATAAAAAGTAAGGTCCCTCAAGCAAATTAGATGCAAATAAAGTAGATATGTACTTCAGGCCAGTCCAACACCCAGAGAAGAGGCCAAAAATGAAGGTCTAGAGTCCTCATACAGTGTGCAAATGAATCGATAACTCAAAAGTGATCAAACAAATCCACATGCTGAGTTTGCAACTCATTGAAACTCAGCCAATGGCAAGCACTGAGCAGCAGGGTGTGTTTGACCTCTTACCTTTGGGAACACATTTCCCAGAGTAAAGTCTTTCAACCCAAGAGTTTCAACTTACTGGGCAAATATTTCAGCTGATGTGATGTAACATAATAAAGTGGGTACCAGCAAAGCCCAAAGCAACAAAAAAAAACACTAAAAATGCCAGAGTTGGTTTTAAGGCTACAGGGATCCCATATCTCCTGGCACCCATGGTGTCCCCTCAGCTCTAGGCTTTTCCACTCTGACTAATAGTTCCAAGACAACCCCCCACAATATCTCCATTGACAATTGCCCAGCTCTAATGCAGAACACTGGTATGACAAACAGCAGAAGATAGGAAATATCTTGTTACCCTCCACCCTGGCACACAGCCTGCCACAGCAAGAGGAAAACACCTTTTCTTGAGCAAGTTTGGGTTCAACAACATGTCACCCAAAAACCACCCCCAAAAAATTGGAAACAAATGTCTAACAAGCCTGAACATGTGCAAAAACTCTTCAAAGGCTGAGTACCAAACTCTGCACCTCAGGACACCTGGGACTGTCAGCCATTATCTACATGTATCACGGGTTTTGTTTGGCTTGCCTTTTTTTTTCTTTGGAGGAGGGGTTGGTGGTGTTGTGGTTTTTATGGTTTTGTTTGAGTTTTTTGAGGGTGGGGGCTGTTTTTTAATTTCAAGTATTTATCATCTACACAAAGATAAAAGTGCACCTTATATGGGAAGGTCAAATAAGTGGAAGTCTCAAACCAAAAGCTTTAAAGGATTTGGGTCCTTTTCCAATTCAGAGAAATGAACAGTGCAATACATGGCCATATTTGCTGTGTCTTCAATTTCCTATACAAACAAAACACTGTTGTGGCTTTAACACACAGTATGCAGTCCAAAAACAATTTTCACCTTCTCCAGCCAAGCTGGTAAAATCTGTTTCTCCAACCACCTCTAGCTCATGACAGTGTAAGCAAGCTGGGAGAGAGGGAAACTGCTGCACCCCCTGAGAGGCAGACCACAACCAGCCCAGCTGGGAATCACCTGCTCAGCAGTATGAAGAAACACTTCACATCATCGTGTGTCCCTGGTCCCTACTGTCTTCAGCTGCTCTAACACCAGTTTGTGACCTGAGCTTGCTCATTCCATGGTTAGGGATCTGCAAACAGCAAAACATCTACTCAGTGAGGGTGATACAGCTCATGGCTCCACACCAGCTGAACCCAAAGGAGCCAGGTTACATGAGATGCAGTGGAATTATGTCCCATCTGAGACAACTGCAGTACAAGGATGCTGATGGGGAGGTAAGAAGGAAGTCTTAAAGCCAGGTACAAATTGTAAATCCCCAAGGACATAAATTTCCAGGTTTGCTCTTCATTTTTTCAGTTACTTTCTTCATGGAACAAACTGGGTTCATTTTGCCACTTTTTGTGAAATACAGACTCAAACCCATCCTGGATTCTCCAGGGAAACATCAGATACTTTTTCCTAACTTCCAAGATCAAATATCAGCCAGTTTAATTTACTCAGAAAAAAAGTGGCTCTCATATCAACAGCACAGCTTTTCCCATACAGCCGACAATGTCCCTTTGTAGTCATTCCATATTTCCTTCTGCAAAAGCTAAATGACATTCACTTTAATTTGATGCTTCTGAAACAGTCCAACTTCAGCAGTTGAATAAGGCTGTGGGGGTAGGAAGCTTCAAACTCACATGTGCCAGGCAGGACTTCAATTCCTTTCCTCTTGCTTTAAGAAAATCTTCAAGACTCACTTCAGCCAGTGAATCTGACAGCAAGAAGCCAGGAACCTCACAGGAATGGGTGGCAGCACTAATCATCTTTCACTAGGAAAAATGTGTGCAAAAGAATCCCATCTATGAGTAGTTTCTCCATTTTGAGAATAACAAGTATATCAAGGGCAGAGTTAAAATAAATAGTCTTTAGAGAAGGAAGAATACCCTATCTTGTAAGAAAATAAAATTATTTACAAAGTGAAAATTTTAATAATATCTTTCAATTGACTCACCAAAAATATCTGCACTGGGGTTTAATTGTACAGCAACTCTAATTAAATGCCACCTCAGTGTATTTGAAGACAATTTTGCAAAAAGCTTCAGAGTGTTTAATATCTGTATGCATCATGTTGACTGACATACCAGTCAGTTTCATGATGCTGAGGCTACAACAGCCATTCCTGTTCAAGGACTTCCATTCCTTTCTTTTTCTTTCAGCCTCAAAACTGCTAATGACAGTTGGTTTGTGGGGTTTGAAGAAGATAAACTGACTAGGTCCCCACTGCAGTCCTTATCCTTTTGCCAGATAAGTAAGTTGGTGCCACCCAAGCTCCTACCATGCCACTGTGGCTGGCACTTAACTGACACACAGGCTATGCACACTAACAGAGTTATCATCCACAACCAGAGTTTATTGAGGAGCTCTGGTGCTGCATTTGGTAGGGTTGCCTGACTTTAGTAGCCAGTTGAAGGAAAGCATTTCCATACAGTTTAAAGGGAAGGAGGGAAAAAATGGAGCAGTGATTGAGTCTGGCAGCAATTTCCCCCACTTTCTCAGCACCGGCTTTACATTACCAGCTACAGAACCTGAAAGAATATTGATTGCCTAAATCAGAAGAGGACTGTGAAACTGTTGCTAGATACACCAGTCTCTCTACAGATAAAAATGAGAACATTTTAACTGTTCTGGAGCTGTAAACATACAGGCACTGGCTGTTTAGCCACAGCACTTGTCAGTGGTGGTCCTATCCATGGCTAACCTCAGCATCAGTTTCTCAAACCCACTTACAATTGCTGAGAACTGGGAATGAAACCTAAAGGCTGTTTGACTTGAAATATAATGCAAAATATTTAATAACTCTTCCCTCCACTCTATTCTGCAAGCCAGACTAATTACAACTCTCAAGTGAAAGTCTTCCAGCTAGGACTTTTTGCAGGGATTTAAGCCCAGGGCTGCACACAGTTGTCAATTTACCCATCATTTATATTTAAGAGAATGCAGAAAATAGCAAAACAGAGTTTTGAACAAAAGGTAAATCTTCTCTGCAACTTGCTAACTTAACAGATCTGACAAAACAAGAGTTTGACCCTCAGGCCCAGGCTTATCTGTTTGCATGAGGGGATTGCTGGAGTGCCACTGGAAGGTTTAAGGTTCTTTGAGCTTTTTAGCTATCAGGTTTTAGTATTCTGCAATACTGCAAGTGTATTTCATAATGCCAATACACTTGTTTATAAATTTAAAAATGGAAGAAAAAATTTTATAAAGCACTGTGCTGGAGTCACTGCATATAGGAAGAAGTCATTTTTTGCTTACATACACACACAATTTAAGAGTATAGAAAGACTGAAAATCCAGATCCTCAAGAAAAAAACCCTCTGCATAAGTATCAACTTTACTGGTAGATTAATTTCCAAAATATTGTTGAGGAATTCTCTTAATATGCTTGCTGGGGATTTCTTTATTAAGAACATTAGTCTAGAAAACTGCAAAGTCAACATCCTTAAGTAAGTTGCTAATAATATTGAAAAAATGACTTGAAATATTATATAGTGGATACAACTTGCTGAAGGGGAAACAAGGAATTCAGATTAGACTCTCAAAAGAAGGAAGTTGTAAAACAAAACAAAACAAAACAAAAAAAAAAACAAATAAAATCCAAACACTTAAAAGTTTAAAATATTAAGCCATATTAGTTCAGGGAATAAAATAAAAAAGATAATGTCAGCCTTGCCATGTTGCAACAGAAGCAACCAGAAATAATGTTTCTAATAAATACGTTTTGCATATGTGTACATCGCTACGTGCCTAAAAAAATAAACTGGCACTACTAGATTAGCCAAACCACTGATATACTCAGTCACCACTGCTTTCTTTTTAATGGTAGAGTGAATATCCCATACCTGGAAAAATAGGTGCATCCTGAGGCCCAGAATTTAATTAACTTATAAAACAAATATGCAAATTGTGGAGATAAATTTCTACCTTGAACAAAATCTAAATCAATTTAGTTCTGCTGTTTGCTGTGTTTCAAGCACAGATTAAGATAAGTGTCTCTGGAGAAGAAACATTAAAAAAAATTAAACAAGTTAGCAAGGAAGTCATGCAACCAAATACACAAGTTAAGTTTTATCATGCAGAAAGGAGATCAAAGAGCAATAAAGTGAGTATGGGGCTGGAAAGAATTGAGAGAAGATTTGATCAGGAATGAATAGAAGAGTTAGAGTGTGCAAACATTAGATTGCATAAACACCAATGGAAGAGGGTTTATAGTAATGCCAGTGAGCATAACTAGAACAAGAGCAACCGCACTGAGAATGCAAAAATGTAGACAGAAAAGGACAAGCTTTGTGGGAGCAATTTTAGAACACATCATGTTAATCTTTCAAAGGAAGCAAAGAAAACATGCTTTTTCAGGAGATTCAGAAAAAGAACAGATAAAAATAAACACACAAGAACCTCAGAGACTAGCCAGCTATTTAACAGCAGGAACTTGTGTTTCAGAATCAGTTGGCAGCCTAGACTCACATACCTATACAGAGAAGAAGTTGCAGTCTTACCATCTCATGGGGTGAACATACCACTGTCACCTCAATTTAAAATTCTTCATTAAAACTGAACAAATTAAATAGGTGGGTCAGAAAGCTAAGATGACACGCTAGTAAAGAGAGGCAATATTGCTAGAAAAAGCACTGGCAAGCACATTCCCAGACTCCAGGTGAGCACGCTGTCCTCATGGTTTCACACAGGATTTTTTGCACTGTACCAGTTACTTTCAGTGTTTGGCTGGCTAGGAATCTGGTATGACTGCACTTTCAGGAGCAAGCCAAGGCCATCGCAACAACCTGTATCACACTCATGCATGACCATCAGTCTTGGACTAGGGAGTGGAGCCCTACAGGAGCTGCAACAGGTCCACCACACACACACACCTGGCTGCTAATGCAAAATAAAGGCCAGTTGCAACAAATTCTGCAAGTGTAATTTGACTTAGATGCTTTTTTAAATCTAATTCAGCATCCTGTTTTTATATCTGCCCGTATGCAGACCTACTTACAAAACTGCATGGCATACTGTAGTTTATAAGACTATTTTTTTATCTTTAGGTAGATAAAGCTGATCAGCTGTGCAGTTACTTATCTGCGAGCGGCGGGATGCACCTGACGCCGCACACACTGGGCTGCCTGTGCAAACACCATTCCCACTGCACAGGAGGGAGGATGCTCTTCACCTGGCCAGGGCCGTGCCAGCCTTCCTCCGGCCAAGGAGCTCCCGAGCTGGGCGGGCACAAGCCAGCCGGGACACCTGCGGTGCGGTGCCCGTGCTCCGCAGGTAGGGGAAGGGAGGGGGCACAACCAGGAACGAGTGCCGGGCAGGACACACCGCGCCAGGCGGGGCTCCCGCGGCTGCATCTGCACCGAGCCATCCCTTCGCGGGTCGCTCGGGATGCGAGCCGCCCTGGCAGGACCCGCCGCCAGCCCGGGCGACAGCGGGGCGGGTGACACCAGAGCGGGACCCGCCGCCAGCCCCGGGTGACACCGGAGCGGGACCGGCCGCCAGCCCGGGTGACAGCGGAGCGGGACCGGCCGCCAGCCCCGGGTGACACCGGAGCGGCCCGCCGCTGCAGCCGCCGGGCGCGGGGGTGTGTCCGGGGTGCGCCCGTGACGCCAGCGGGGCGTGGGAACGGGACAGGCGGCGAGGGCCGGGGCAGAGGCACGCACCTGGTCTCCTGGTTGCTGAACTTCTTGGTGACCACCTTGCCCAGCTCCAGCCCGAGCCGGTCCGCCACCCGCTGGGACAGGTCGTGGTGGGAGCTGCCGCTGAACAGCACAATGTTCGGCATGGCGGGGGCGAGCGCGGCGGGCGGGCGGGCGAGGTCGGGGCTGCGGTGAGAGCGGCAGAGGAGCGCGGGGAGCGCGGTGCGCGGTCAAATAGCGCGGAGCGGGCCCGCCCCGCCGCCGGGAGCGGGAGGGACCGGGGCGGGGCCAGCCGGGGGCGCCGCGGGGCACAGGTGGGGCCGGGCGCCCTTCTCGGCCACGGGGGGGTGGCTGCCACCGCCTCCTCCTCCTCCGCCTCTGCCTTCTCCTCCCCGTGCCGAGCCCGGCGCGGCCCGTGCCGCCGAGCCCGGCGCGGCCCGTGCCCCCCAGCCGCCTCTGGAGCAGCGCTCGGGCCGCTCCTCAGGCGGGCAGGGCTCCCGCACCTGGAGAGAGGCACGAACGGGAGATCCTCACGGGGGCTCGGCTGCCTATGGGATATGTGGTTCAGGTGACACCGGCACTTAAAAAAAGCCGAATACAGCGAGGTTGATGTGGGGTTAGAGATCTTACTAGTTTTACTTGGCAAAGCTGTCCTTAAATAACCCGCCACCGATTCTGTGTAAACTCTACACATTTTCCATTAGCTTGGTTTTGTCGATTGTTGCTTAGAAATATGCTCATAAGCAAAGTGCTATCTGAAAACCGATTAAGATAAAAAGGTCTTAGCTTTCAGGTAGAGCTGTTTTAACTTGTATGTATACAAATAAATAGATTGCACTGGATAGGTGACTTCAGAACCACCTCAGTTCTCCTGTCTTAAGCATTTCTTCAAAGAGCAGGGTCTTGAACACATGGTTATTTGTGTTCTGTCCATAGGATAATTCATGACTAAATAAACTCCATTGTTGATTAGAAATTTTTCAACTGAACCTGAAGTCTGGTAAGGAACTTCCTCAAAAAAACCCCAAACAAACAAACCAAACTAAATTGAATGTTTTAGTCAACAACTCAGTAATAAATGTTTTGGGTTGGAGAGTGGGGGTTAATAGGTTGGGTTGCTGTCATTCTCATTCTTTTGTGATCCAGATGCTTGCACAAATTATAGACGCTTCTTGCTAAGTATCTCATCATTGTAGAGGGAATATAAATAAGGGGTTCACCTTATGGACAAGAATGGAAAATATAAGTATTTTGACTTACCACAGCATAACTCTAGAATCTGTTCCAGTATTTGATGCATTGCCAATACCTCAGCATACAAAGACTGTTTTTTGGCCCACTCACCCACTTGCCCTCTTTGTATTTTCTTTTTATACAATGAAAAATAAATATGTTTAACTGTCAGCACCATAGGCTCATAAAGCATCTCAAAGTCAAATTTGTCATTCTTCCAGTTCATTCATCTTCTTTAAAGACTAATTTTGTAGGATACATTTTATTCTGAGTTTCTTTGAATTCCAATTTTTGCCCACTGTCCTGATTTTGTTGTGATTTTTAGTACTGATTAGTCTAAAATCTTTAGACTCTGTGACAGGACATCACAGCTGCCAATAAGACTGCAAGTTTCAAATCTGTGAAAAAGGAAATTTGTTAATATGACCTCAGGTTTATCAGAACTAAAAACATTGCTAGACAGAAAAAGGCAATTTAACTTCAAAATAACATAATAAAGGAAAACCATACTTCATTGTCCACTCAGCAACACCAGAACTTTTAAAATGGTCTGCAGGACCAGAAAAAAGACAAAAACCCAACTTGGACTGCCCACAGTTTTTTAAATATATATTTGCCAGTACTGAACCTTACAATGAAATTGGTGATTGTCTTGATCCACTCTTTTTTCCCTAATGCATCCAGTTAAAACTCTTGTCCTCATAATAATTATATATTCTTTTATTTGCTGGCTTAGCAGGATATCCAGACATTTCTTTTTGGCCCATTAAGACTTTTGTGCCCAAGAGCTAATTAGTGTTTATCCAGTAGCTACATATAGAAACTGCATATTAAAAGTAGTCATGGAGGCCGTCATGCAAAAGAAATAATGGTGACTGACATGCTAAGTGTGATTGTCTTTCCCTTGGTGGTCATAGACTATAGCAGACCAGAACTGAAAAGTTGAGTGCCATCCCCACTTGTACTTTGCTAAAGAAAATAAAAAAAACCACTCTTTCGATAAATGAAAATAATAAGGGAGGTACCTGCCAAACAAGAGAAATTAAAACTTTCAGCCAGAAATTGCTTTCTTCCTTTTATCATCTCATTGTCATTAGAAACAGTTTTGCCTGTTGTGTAGGCTGTAATAATCAGCCAAGAACAAGAAGATGCTCTTTTCTGGTAACTAGTTGTATCAAAGTGTTGGTCAGTTTAGCCAGGAAAAAGACTGAAACAGCTACGAATCAGCTGGACCTGAGGAAACATATGTGAATCAGCTTCTGCAACAGGAAGCACTTCCAGCAAAGGTGTGAGAGACAAGGAACAATAAGAGACTTCTAAATATCAGAAGCAGAAATCAGAAATTCTCTGATTTACATACAACTGAAAAATTTTTGCCCATCTTGATTTCTTTGCACTGCAGTTGTGCAAATCTTAGCATACAGCTCGCTTTATGATTCTCCTTGCAGTTCCCATTCTAAAAAATGTTACACCATGAAAAAAGTCAAAGTAACTCAGGGCTTTAGTAGTTTTTGTATCACAATGCCTTCTGACATTTTTGGGGTTTTTGTTTGTTTGATTTTTTCCCTTCCAATTATAAAATATCTATGTGGGAAAACATCTGTTTGGAAAAAATCAAACCACAGACTTAAAAGAACTGACAAAAATCCCTGTTGGATCTCTAGAAATACAATCTGAATATCAAGATATTTAGTTTCTTCATTTTACTGTCATAATTTGCAAGAGTCCATTGACCAATTTCTGCCCTCAGTTACATCATTTAGTTATCAAATGTTAGCAAATCATGGTTCTGGTCTTGAAACAGTCGTGAAAAATCTGAGATTTTAAAAAAAATAGTTGCTGGCTATTTTTGTTGTGTGTATTTTTAACTGTTAGTGTATTTTTTTGTCATGATTTCAAGATCTCTGAATCTCCCTTAAAAATCAAAAAAGCAGCTAATACTTGCTTCTAATCACTTGTCTTCACAGGGTTTGGCTTGAAGAATAAAAAGCAAATATTAAAGGCCTTGATATGGAATAGCAGCAGCTGACAACATTACAGTCACATCTGTCCAAACCTATTATATCTGCATTTTGAGACCTGTGATTCTATTGTTTTCAAATGCTGATCTGGTTCTTCCAAAGCTTATTCTATCCTGCAAGTATAAAAACATAAAAAATTGTTAAATTAATTACCCTACTGAGAAAGCATAAACTTTTGTCATAAAACCCCTTGAGTTGTTCCTACTACTCCATAGCTTAGGATTTTTTTCATAATCTTGGCCACCCACAGCTTCCAAATTCCCCTCAATGTTCCTAATTTCCACATAGTTCCAGTAATCTCATTCCCAGCTTCCAAATTCCCAATGCTTCCCGGCTCTGCTCTATGGCTTCCCATGACCATTTCTAATGTTACCTCTGGGTATTTTCTGAATATTTCAGTTGCTGCTTCTATTTCAGATCCACAGCTCTGTGATGTCCTATTCAGCTGCTATTGAAAGCTCTTTGATCACTTAGCTCCACTCTTTTGTCAGCAGATACGACTCCTACTGTGTCACCGATTTTATTCTGGAAAGCAGCTCATTGCCCTTCGTACATTTATTCTGAAGGAAGATGCTAAGCCAAACTCTCTTCATAAATTTCTCCTAATGTGCATCATAACACATCTTTCTTGACTCTAATCCTCATCTAACAAGTGCATCTTGTATAATGGAGTGCATCACGATCAATGGAGAGAAAAAAAAAAACCATTTTCAAACTGCAGGTTGCATAAATTTAACTGCTCACTTCATGCTTTGCTATCTGGACATTTTCACATCAATGTTCCAGACTGTTCTTAGCCCCCTACCTATCTACACAGGGATGCTTTCTGCTTCTCTACCCAATTTTCTGTTCACCTGCCTTTATTTGAGCAACAGAAAATTGTCTTTTGGTGATGAGAAACCCAGAAAACTCATCATTATTTTTCCAGTCTGATCTTTGGTGGGTGTGTTTCAACTGCAGGAAGCAATCACTCATTATTCTTGTAGCTAGGACAAGTTACAAAACTTATGCATATATGTCACCTCATAATGCTGCAGTTTTCCTAGACAGCATACAATGTACATTTCAGGCTTCTTATATCTAAAGAAATACTATCTGGAATCTGTAGTTTGTCCTGAGAAAAACTTCTTTGCCAAAAAACCATAACTAAAATGGTCAGCTGTAGGTGGTGTGGGTATTGTTATTGTTTTGTCCTAGCAGTTTAGACCAGGATCCTTCCATTAGGGTTTCCTGGTGAATCATGAAACATTTTAATTTTTTCAGATTTAGTTCCTACTACTAGATCATTTCTCAACTTTTTCTATGCTGGGTTTTTTTTTTCCCCAAGAGTTTACTTCCAGTTTCTGTAATACCTCTTTCTTAGATCCCTTTTCACTGGGATTTTTTTGTTTTCCTTTCTTCCATGATTTTGCCTGCTGAAACTACAAAGTAGCTCATAATCTTCATCCTTGAATGACGCATCTCTAACCTAGCATCAGGATTTTTACCTCTGTTTGCCCCAGTGAGTCAACCACCAGTCTTCAACATCTTTGTTACCACATGCCTGAGTAAATAAAGGCAAGACAGCAGACTGATCTTGGAATTAAACATTTCTTTGTAAGTCTGTATATAAACAGATTGGAGTTGATTTGTAGAACACAAGCTCTAGGGATCTGTTACTGGAGAAGGTATCATCTCAGTGCCAAGGTAAGGTGGAAGGATGGAGAAAATTGTAAATATCATCCATTCAGGTATCAGAGGCAAAAGACCAAGACTCTTCAGAAGACTTTTCTGCCCCTTAAAAATTAGCCTTGTTCAAGATAAAGGATCAAAGATTTCAATTTATTTTATAAGGCTGAATCTTGTGCATTCTGCTTCAGGCTAATTTAGAAAATTTTAGCATGTCTTTTATGCATCTTGATTCTATGTCTAGACAGCCATAGGACTCCA